CGGTTGGCCCAGCACAGCCACTGCCACAGCCATGGCTGCCAAAAAAGCTGCTTGACACCACAGTAGCAGTCACAGCCACTGTGCAGGTGGCTTGCTGGACACTTGACTGCATTGACATGAGGAGAGTCACCAGTGGAGAACAGAAAAGGAAGAGGATGTCTCTCTCCTCAAAGCCTTCTCCAGAGTAATAGAAGAAGCAACTGCTCTACCAGATGACCAGATATTAATGTAGAGATACTAGAAATATGAAACCCAAGAAAATAGGACACCACCAAAAGAATACAGTAATTTTCTAGTACCAGACCATATAGAGCAGGAAATGACTCAGAAGGAATTCTGAGCAACAATCTTAAGGAAACTGAGAAGTGAGAAGACTCATACACCATAATGAAATGAGAAAAGAAATCCAGGATATGAAGGAGGTAATTTACAAAGAGATTAATACCTTAAAAAATGATGTAGCAGAACTCATGGAACTGAAAGCTTCACTCAATGAAATAAAAAACATAGCCATAGCCATAGCAGAAGCAGCAGGCATTCTGATCTTGAAGATAGTCTTTTTGAAATAACCCAGGTGGACAAAAAAGAAAAGGAAAAGGCTGGTGCCATGGCTCACTCAGGAGAGTGTGGCGCTGGTAGTGCTGAGGCCGCGGGTTTGAATCCTATATAGGGATGGCCGGTGCGCTCACTGGCTGAGTGTGGTGTAGACAAAACCATGCCATGGGTTGTGATCCCCTTACCAGTCAAAAAAAAAAAAGAAAAAGAAAAGGAAAAAAGAATTTTAAAAATCACAACAATTCATTGAACTTGTTAAGACAAGTGAACAGATATGATGTGGGTGGGGTAGGGGAAATAGGGAGCGGGAAAGAGGAATGGGTAAAGGGTCATCAAAATCAACTAGAATGTATACTGAGAAGTTAAAATAAAATAAAAATAAATAAATAAAAATAAAAGAAAATCTAAGAGAGCTAGCAGACAACCTTTAGCGTACAAACATTCAAATCATGGGTGTTCCAGCAGGTGAGGAGAAGGAAAAAGGCATGAAAAACCTATTTGATGAAATAATAAACAGGGATAGGGAGAAACACAGACCTTCAGATCCAGGAGACTCAAAGATCCCCAAACAGATTCACCCAAAAAGATCCTCTCCAAGACACTTTATAGTCAAACTGGCAAAGCTCAAAGACAAAGAGAGAATCTTAAAAGAAGCAAGAGAAGATTGTCAAGTCAACTATAAGGAAGCCCCACTCAGATGAACAGCAGTCTTCTCAAAAGAACCTCTACAGGCCAGAAGCAAATGAGATAATATATTCAAAATACTAAAAGAAAAATCTGCCAGCCAAGAATACTGTACCCAGCAAGGGTATCCTTCAGAAATGAAGGAGAAATAGTCTATTTCCCAGACAAACAAAAACTGCAAGAGGTTGTACAAAAAGCACATGTACTTCACAGGGTCTGGTTTTCCAAAGCCTTGCAGTTTCAAATATTGACCTTACAAAAAACAGGAAAATTTCCCCAGGCTATTGAGTCTCTGTTGCAAGATAAGAATCATAACACAGCAAGGCTGCTGGTTTAAAGACAGACAGGTTACTAATTGATATGTAAAGTTACTAAAATGCTGTTGGAGGGAGAAGGAATGTTTGCTAGATCAAGCTTCTGTTAGTGGATCAACTTAATTGCATATTACCAGCTTCTATTGTTAAAACTTGTTAAACTGTGCTTAGCAAAACTCCACTGATATCTCTTCCTGTAACTTGCTGGTCTGGAGAATAAATGCAGGAAGAGAACCCCAATTCGTGATTAATTTCCCAAATGGAAGAAATGCCTCACGCTTGAGGGTTCTGGTATATTAACCCCTTTCTGGGGCATCTCACTGCTCAAAAGAGATGGGCTTTGAGTAATCTTTGGCAGCTCCATCACCCAGGGGAAGAGGAGTGACAAATCCATGGGAGGCAAAGCAACAAGAGTTCACCACCACATGACCAGCTCTGCAAGAAATCCTCAAGGAAGTCCTGAATCGGGAGTCCGAGAATCAATAATCACTACCACAAATACACAAGAAAGAACAAAGCCCACTGGTAGAAAAAAATGAAAATGAGAAAGAGAAACTAAATCTTACCACCACAGGAGTGACACCAAAATATCCATTAATCTTAGCAACATTAGAAGTGGTTCTTAAATAAAAATGAAGAAAAAATATTACAGTACTGTGGTTTGTAGGCCAGTAGGATTTTGGTACAGAGTGAATGTTTGTGTCACCTCCAAATTCATATGTTGAAGCCAAATCCCCAATGTGATGGTTTTTGGAGGTGGGGTCTTTGGGATGTGATTAGGTCATGAGGGTAGAGAGTTCCTGAATGGGGTTCATGCCCTTATAAAAGAGGCTTCAGAGAGCATCCTTTTCCCTTCTGCCACATGAGGCTGCATTGAGAAGACAATCATCTATGAACCAGAAACTGGGCCCTGCAAAGACACTTGATCTGCTGTACTTTGATCTTAGACTTACCAGCCTTCAGATCTGTGAGAAATACATTTCTGTTGTTTATAAGCCACCCGGTACGTGGCATTTTGTTACAGCAGCCTGAACGGAGTAAGACAGATTTGAAGTGGCAGGACTTTGATTCAAACAATAGTTAAATGATGAGTACTGTGTGCCACAAAAGAATTCTGCATGTATTACTTCATTTAATCCCTATACTGCCTTCTGAGGTTTTCTATCCCCATTACTGATAATGAGGCTGGGGTTCAGTGAACTGCCCTGCAGAAATCACACACACAGTTATGTGACAGAGCTGAGATCCAGAGCAAACATGTGTCTTATTCCAGCCATCCCAAAATATTCCACTGATATTCAGAAATCTGAGAAGTTTCAGCATTGCCCTTCTTCTTTAAAGTTAACCTCCCGTGTTCATTCTTGTAACATGAACGTATAAAATTATTCCAAAATAAAAAGTATAAAAACTTAACCTGTTATTACTTATTGCCTCTAGTAGAAAAAATGGAGGCCTGAGGAAACTGGAAATGTGTTTCAATACGAGAAGGAGGTGATGAAGATGGGGTGGAGTGGAGATCAGGGAGGCAACAAATATTGATTTGGCATCTCCTCTGTGCCAGCTGCTGTGCTGGGTACTGGCAAAACGGGATGACTAAGGTAAGGAGCTGCCCTCCAGGACTCAGAGCTGAGCAAACAATACCACACGCTGAGAGCCACACTGCACACATATAGATGTTGCTGCGTAAGCACTGGGGACTGACTTTCTGGGAGGATGAGGGGACACTTTCCAGAAGAAAAGACGTTTGTGTTGGGGTCTCAAAGGATGAGGAAGTGTTTTCCTGGCACAGCAGAGGGGAATGGTCATACAGGCAGGGTATATTTGTAAAGGCATGGAAGTTGGAGAGGTTATGACATGACCTGGAAATGGAAGATAGTTTTCTGTGGCTGGAGCATAGGATGCATGGTGGCAGTGGTGGTGGCAACAATGAGATGTAAGCAGGGAACGGGGCTCTGGGTGCCAAGAAGCGTGGCCTGCACTCTGTGTGCTGTGGGGAGCCAAAGGCTTTTTGGCAGGAGAATGATAAGGTTGGTTATAGGATCTCTTGAATGGCCTTGTGGAAGACAGATAGGAGAAAGCCAGGCAGGTGGCAGAGAGGCCAGCTGTTATAAACTCCACTTGGAGGGACTCTTGCAGCTCAAATGCCCTTGGTGACCCTCTAGCTCTCCATTTCACAAGTGACAAACTGAGGTCTGGAAAGGTTAAAAGACTTGCACAAAGCTGTCCAGTTAGTGAGTAGCAGGGCTGGGACCAGAATGAAGACCTTCTATTGTCTGCCAGGATCCCTTCCACCTGCCTAGATTATCAAAGACAAGGAGCAGGTCTAAAGTCTGGACTCCCTCACAGTGGCTTCAAGTTCATCAGTGTGAGGACAACACAAAGGTGAGAAAATGACAGAAGGTAAAAGAGTAAAAGCGCTGTTTTTACACTGGTTTTGGTTTCCTGCTATCTTATATATCAGATAACGAGTAAAACCAAAAACAGCTTACTTCCAAAATAAAAAAAACAAAAACACACACAAGTGAATCAAAAGTGCACAGCTACTTTCCAAATCAACCAACGCAATCAAATCCTGACTGTTCACACATAGTGAAATTCAGAGATGGGAACAAAGTCTTTTTTGAGTAGCCTAGGTAATTCTTTCCTAAGAGCAGATGGTCACTACTTTAGGTATGTTGTCTAAAATGAAATCCAGTTAGCAAGACAATATTTCATCCACAGAACTACTATTCATGGGTCTAGTCCCCAGAGATGTCTGTCCTAAAGTAACCTTAGGATAATTACCAGGTCACTTTTATCTGAGATTCTAAGCCTAGCATCCTACCCCTGGAATTTGAGGACAGGAAATTGAATCTATTCTGTTTCCTAGAAAACTGAGATTTTAGAGAGAAGCAAAGCCCACTTATGGTCCTTTCATAACTTCACCCCAAAGAGGGTGATTTACATAGAGATTTTATTTTCAGGGTAGAAACAGATTTTCTGACACCTGCACCTTTCCCAAAGGGCCCTTGAGACTTCATATCTGAGCATGAAGTAGTGTTGTGTCAGCGGCGATCTCAGATCGCCATGCCAGCAAAGGGTCCTCCTCACAACGTGATTCAGACCAAGCCCCTGTTTGAGTTAAAGTGAGTAGGACAGGGAAGAAGGTATCTGGGTTCTTCAAAACTGTTTCATATTGTACATACCAAACCATTATAAAAGACAGAGCACACAGCATCTTTAATTGGTTACAGATGGAAGAAACTCAGCCACAATAATAAATTCACAGAGGTGAAGTGTGTCGTCACACATGGATCTGAGATGTGTGATCCAGAAGGTGGGTGTGGGGGAGTTAATACCATATGTCACTTGAGTGCTGTGTGTCTGCTCCCATGTCAATAGCAGCATATTCCTCCAAAACAGCTCCGATGACATCCCTGCCCTCTGCCAAACCTAGGTGGCTCTTACCAGGTACTGAAGTCGCTGGCGCTCAGTCTCGGGGGTGAATTCCGAAGACATGGGAATAATTTCTCCATTTCTGATGATTATGGCCCTGAAATGGTGAAAATGCATTGTCAACAGCCAATCTCATAACTACACCAATTCTGTGACAACCATAGCTTGGTTCAGACCACACATGAAATGCCAAGAGATACTTTCTCCTCCCACCTGCACGGCAGAGTTCCCTCTTCCCAACTCTGGATCCTTTGCCGTGCTAGATGTATCTTTGTCTTAAGTGCACTGCATTCAGTTAGCTTATGTTTACTTTTTCTACTAGCTGGGAACGTGTCTTAACGTCCCAGCACCAAGCATACTACTTGGCACATAACGAATGCTCAATAAATGGATGGATGAATGAATGAATGACACAACAGAGACTCATTCTATTCCAGAGTTATCCAATAGAACATTCTTGTGATCATGGTAATGTTTTTAATCTCTGCAGTTCCATATGGCAGCCACTAGCCACATGTGGATACCGAGTATTTGAATTGTGGTTACTACAGCCAAAGAACTGAATTTTTATTTTATTTTTGGCAGTTGGCTAGTACAGGGATTGAACCCCGGACCTTGGTATTACCAGCACCATATTCTAACCAACTGAACTAACTGGCCAGCTGGAACAGAATTTATTTTATTTAATCTTAATTAATTTAAGTTTAAGCAGTCACATGTGGCTAGTGTTTAATGTATTAGACAGTGCAGCTTCAGATCCCTGTTACTCAAAGTGTATGTGGGTGAGCAGCATTGGCCTCACCTGTGAGCTTATTAGAAATGCAAAATCTCGGGTTCCACCCCAGACTTACTGTATCAGAATCTGTGTTGTAATAAGATCCCCAGGAAATTCATATGCACATTAAAACCTGAGAACATGTGGCCTAGACTCATGGGTTTCTAAGGTTATAACCTGGGTCTACAAAAAGCCACTCTCATCTTAAAGCTCAGGAAATTCACATACTCCAAAAAATGCACCCAAGGGCTATTGCTGACTCAAAGACTTTTGAGAGAACAGAGTTCCCCAAAGCAGATGTCTAAAGGAGAGGCTGCAGGATTGATTACCATCAAGCAACCTTTCCCGGGCCTATTCCCAACGGTGCCTCCTATTCTCAGACCTTCTGATTCCAAAGCAGTTCCTGACAGCCACTTTCCAGCTATCAATCGATGGCGGCAGAATGTTGCCATTTCTACAACAAATGGAAGTCGCTTGGGGAATTGCATTCCATATGAACCCAACAGCTCCCTTGCACGAGAGAATGAGAGACCTGAGACCTGTCACACTTCTCAGTGAAGACCCACAGACATGGGGAATGCCAGCTGGGTGGATGCCTCATTGATTTAAGGGGAGGCTGCATGCTTTGTGCCAAGAAGCCCTTGGGCACCCCTTCCCCCAACTGCAGAGGCAGTCTCTGACTCGGAAACAATCCCTATAAATGGCTGCAGCTGTCACAACCCCCTCCCAATCCCTTACCACCTGTGCCCCAGTTGCTAGCATCTTAGAAACACGTGGAGGGGTGCAGGCAGGGGATGAGATGACAACAAAAATCTCAACAGCTCTAGGAGGAAAAAAATCAGTGGAAGCTGTGAGCAAATATGGAAAAGTTCAGGGGAGTGGACTCTGGCAAAAGGATGCCTCTTGCTGTAATAGTCCTTTACCACTTCTTTTGTTATGCTGCCCAAAATATGACAAACTAAAAATTCCTTATAAACCCAGAGCCACTTGTAAAATGTAATCCCTCCCACCCCAAGGTGATGTCCACCAAATCAGTGTGTTAATTCAAATGGTCTTTGTTCTAATTATCATCTGACAATAACTACAAGAAAGTTTTGACAAAGGATAGAGAAACTGGGAGAATTTGAAAGAGGGTGGGTGGGTCACAAAAGTCTAGGTTAGGGTCTAATCTTAAAGTGCCAGAAGGACCCTGAAAACCTGGGCAACTGGAGTGAAAGTTGTTATTATGTGATAAATTCCAAAGGCAACCTTCTCTTTCAAAATTTTGCTTAAAGCTAGTCTTAACTCCTTTTCGTCCTTTCTACATGGCCCCTGAATTCCAGTTGGGAAAGTTAGATACGCTGGAGGGAAGTAAAAGATAGTGAGTGAATGGAAGGAGAAGGCAGGCAGGTGGAGGACGGAGTGTCAGAGACCAGGCAGAAGGTGGTCTGAGCGCCACTCCGCGTGGCTGCTGGGGAGAGGCCGGCCAGGCTCACTCAGGCCGTGGAAGATTCTCCAGGGTCCTCTCCGCATCAGTTATTCCCACTCCTGAACTTCCAGTGTCTCTCTCCACTGGATCTCCGCCCATACTACAAAGCTATGCTCAAAACACTTTGTGTTTAAAATCAAACCAAACCCAAACCAAACAAATAACACTCTCTTAATCCAAAACTCACCTTCAGGGATTGTCCTCTTCTTTTCTACTAAGCCAAGGCTTATAAATTCATAATCTACATTCAGGGTCTCTACTGCCTCATCACCCATGGATCCCTCAAACTGTTGTCACTGGAGTGACTAAATGGCCCCTTTCTTCCTCTATCCACTGGGCATCTCATCACTCTGATCATCCTGGCAGCATGTGACAGTCTGGGATACCCTCCCGTTTTCACTTCTACCTCCCAGGACACTCCTTCTCAGATTCTCCTTCCCTCCTTCGGCACTGCAGACTAGGATTTGGTCTCACTACTCTCTCCCCCTGGGTGATCTCATGTCCTAACTCCTTTACCCCCAAGGTTACGTTAGGTCCATGTCTTACAGGTTCCTTTAGCCTGGCACTTTTCCTAATATAAGGCACATCACATTTTGTAATTGATTACTTAGTTGTCTTCCATGCTAGCCTGTACACTCCTGAGGCAAGAGCCATGTCTGTCTTGATCAACATTGTAGTTCCATTACTGTGCACAGCACCAGGCCATTGTAGGCAGGGCTGGCTACATAGTTTCAGGGTCCAGTGCAAAATAAAAGTGCAGGGCCCCTTGTTTACAAATTGTGAATATGAAGGTGGCGACAGAAGGGCATTAAACGAAACATGGAGCTCTGTGTGACTGCACAGGTCACATGCTTACAAAGCCGGCCCTGATCATATGCCCTTAATATTTACTGAATGAATAAAAACTTCAACAACTGCATATGCTTTTGATTCCAGATAACCTTTCCAGCCCACACATCTCTATTGTGCTCCAGCCTGGAACAGCTAACTCGCAACAGATACATCCACTTGGATATCCACTGGCATCTCATACTTAGCAAGGCTCAAAATTAATGATCCTGTCCCTCCACCACACTCCCACAGCTGTCTGTCTTCCAGCATTCCCTGTCTACAAAATGACACTGCTTTCCAGCCAGCTGCCCATCCCAGAAGCCAGAGAGCCATTCTATATTGTTTACTCTTCCTATCCCACGCTTCCGAATGGGCAGCCAGTCCTGCAGATCTTGCCTCCTCAGGAGACCACACGTCTCTCCTTGACTCCCACTGCTAGTGCCTTGGGTGTGGTTTCCATCAGAGCTTGTCTGCATGGCTCAGGAGCTCCCGACTTCCCTCCCTGCCCCTGGCTCTGCCCTCCTCTGGCCCACGCTCCACGTGGCACAAAGGTGACTTTAAAGCACCACTTGCATCATGCACACCCCCTACCTACAGCCTTTTGATGGTTTCTCAGCATTTCCAATTTCCCTTGTTATCTGGCGCTTGCCTGTACTTCTGGCTTTAGCCTCACCCTTGTTATTGCTTTCACATCTGCTGCTCCCTCCTGATGGCCAGCCTATTCCTGAGTCAGCTCAGGAGAACACCTTCCATTGTCCTTCTGGTCCGCCTTCCATGCCACTTCTCTATGACCCTGTGCTGCCATATGCCTGGCTATACAGCACCCTCACCAGTCTCTGCTGTGACTGTGGGCTTCCACAGCATCTTAGGAGACTTAGCAGAGCCTAAGTCGTTGCCTCTGAGTCATCACTGCTCAGTGCCTGGCATGTGGCAGACAGGCAACAACTGTTTGCTGATGGGCAAGTGACTAAATGGATGAAGGGTGAGCTGGACTTGGGTGGATGAACAGAACTATCCAGAAACAAAGACCCTAAATAAGACTGTTCTTAGTAACAATAGTATTAGTTGTACATAGTCTGAGCCCTCAAAAATCCATACACCTTTTCATTGTTTTGCAAAAAGACAACAGACCCAAGAGGATGTTGCTCTGGCTGAGTCACCACTGAGAAGTGCCTTGAAGGACAAGAGAAACTGAGGCAGGGCCCCTCTCCTCAGGGGGCAGGGGAGGGAGAACGCAAAGGCGGCAGCCCCCACCAAGTTAATTTCAAATTCACACACAGCAAGGCATCTGCACTCAATTCCAACATTACTGCTCAGGTAACCCTAGCTCATTACTTCCTTACACAGATAATTATATCCGAATCCATCTACGTACAGAACATTATTTCTGTTTGAACTACCAAATGCATCCACGGATTAAAGATGACAGCATGTTTGGCTGCCAACCTTGCCAGTCCCTACATTGTGACACCTCTTCCTATGTGAACCTTGGTTCCTTTTGATCTTTCTCTCTTTCATCCCTCTGATCTTGGGATCAATTTGTCAGAGTGCTGGTCTCCGATCTGGAGCAGGGCAGGCAGAGACAAGAGGTTTCAAAAGGAACAGAGCTCATGTGAAGGCTGACAAATCTCATACTAAACAATCCATAAAGTAGAGAAATGTCTTTAAAGCTACATTCTCTCATCACAGGACCCCTGCACTTCGTATCTTCTACTTCATCATTTTATGAGATGCTTTTCCTAAGGAAAATGTAAAAAGCAACAAAAGCCGTGGCAGCGATGAGGTGCAGGGAGCGAGGTGCACGCCCTCACCTTCCTTCTGGGGCCTCAGGTCTGGACCTGTGGACATCACCAGCCATTGTCAGAATGCAGAAGACGTTCCATTCACCTCCCCGGGGTTTGGCCAGTGATTACATGAGAAAGTTTCTAGAGGTTAAAGTAATTTCATCAATTGGCAACCACCTCCTACTCAGTACCCCTTACCATACAGAGGGAATGGTTCTTAAGCAAATTCACCAAAGTTA